ACCAACTCAAAGTACCAAAACAGAAAAACAGAGCACACGTCTGGAACTAACTCAAATTGCTTGGAAAATAACAAAAATTGCTGGAAATTATCTTGAAAGGTAAAAATTTATGTATGTGATTATTTTAATATCGTGAAATAGACCCCTCTTGAGAGGCCAACATCCCTATCAACGACACAAATTTGTGATGAAGTAAATCTGTCACAAATTTGTGACGGAAAAAAGTCCCTCACTAAATTCGTCACAATTTGTGACGGAAATTTATTAATTTATGAACATTTAATATTATAAATTAGTGACGGAATTTGTGATGTCTTAATTCCTTCATTGATTGTGACGGACTGAAATTATCCGTCACTAAATATTTTGTGAAGCCAATTTTTGTGACGAAATCAATTTCGTCACAAATTCCGTCACTAATGTGACGGATTTATAATATTGTGTGACAGATTTTGTTCCCTCTCTAATTTTAATTTTTCTAGTAGTGTCTTATGTGGTATATAGTGATGCTTCGTAAATCTGTCACAAATTTGTGACGGAAAAAAGTCCCTCACTAAATTCGTCACAATTTGTGACGGAAATTTATTAATTTATGAACATTTAATATTATAAATTAGTGACGGAATTTGTGATGTCTTAATTCCTTCATTGATTGTGACGGACTGAAATTATCCGTCACTAAATATTTTGTGAAGCCAATTTTTGTGACGAAATCAATTTCGTCACAAATTCCGTCACTAATGTGACGGATTTATAATATTGTGTGACAGATTTTGTTCCCTCTCTAATTTTAATTTTTCTAGTAGTGTCTTATGTGGTATATAGTGATGCTTCTAAGATGGGTTTGGGTGGAGTGTTGATGCAAGAAAGAAAGGTAGTAGCTTATGTTTCTAGGCAATTGAAAATTCATGAGAGGAATTACCTTACCCATGACCTTGAGTTAGCGGTTATAATATTTACAGTAACATTTGAAGACACTACTGGTATGGTTCTAAGCTTGATGTATTTAGTGATCATAAGAGTCTTAAATATCTATTTGACCTGAAAAAGCTGAATATGAGACAAAAGAGATAGTTAGAATTTCTTAAGGACTAGGATTTTAATCTTAGTTGTTATCTGGGTAAAGCTAATGTGGTGGTTGATGCTTTGAGTAGGAAACCTCAACATTTATCTTCCCTTATGATTAAAGAGATGGATCTTTTGACTTAAATTAGGGATTTACGTTTGACTTGTGAGATTACTCCTAGTAGTGTGAAACTAGGTATGACTCGAGTAATGAGTGGATTGTTGAAGGAAATTGGAGAAACATAATTAGTTAATTCATTTTGGTTACTATAGATACCCAATTTCATCCGGGGGCATGCAAACAACGGGACAGCACTTTAGAGGGCCCAAAAGCCCAAACAAGCTGATTTTAGAAGCCCGGAACGGGCTGTTCCAAAACTGGAATGGGTCGTTCGAATTTACAAAAAGGGCCTAAAACCCAAAATTGGAACGGGTTGTTCCAAAATTGGAACGCGGCGTTCCAAAATTGGAACGGGCCATTCCAGGCTCTTTAAAAAGGATAAAAGCTACATTCGGAACGGGCCATTCCCAAATTGGAACGGCCACTCCAAGTAACAAAAAAGGCTTGAATTCTTAAATTTGGAACGGGCCGTTCCAGAATGGAAATTATGTGTTAAACGTGCCTCTGGAACGGGCCGTTCCGATTTCGGAACGAGCCGTTCCAATACACTAAATTAACACATAACGGCCAGATTCAGAACGGGCCGTTCCGATTTTGGAACGGGCCTTTCTGGTAAAGTAAAGGGGAAAAATATTTAAATTATTATTTTTATTTTATTAACTTCA